ATTTGTCAAGCTTGCATCTTTATAACCTTTAAATTAGTCTACCAAAATTTAAAAGGAATGTATAACTTCAGAAAAGAAGTAAAACAAAAATCTGAAGAGGGGAAAAACATTTCCAGTCGTATTCCACTAAAATAATATTGCTACAATAAATTTTTTTTTATAGTTGAACTTTGTGTTGACCCCGTTTCTTGTAAGGTTGACGTGGACAACATATGATGAGTCCACTAACATCTACGCAAACAAATTTCAACACGTTTTGACCGGAGATTTTGATGGAAAAGGTTGCTATTTCATGGACATAGGAGCTACTATATGACAAGAGAAAAAAGTGTTCAAGTATCAGTAATATGATCAAAGATGATTGCATAATAATGAACAATCACAAACAATTCAACCAAAATAATCTAAATTCAAATAAACGAGTATGAATAAGCAAGAGAGAAGATCAAGTGCGATTTTAAGTATAAAGAGTTGTATTAGATTCAAATGTTACAAGAGTTTTAGTCGAAGTGGTAGCCGTTGATAAGAACCACGTGACTTCATCTCCTAAGTCGAAGCCTCACATCATTTATTCTGCTACGCATTTAATACATTGACTACGGGTCAACCACCCTACACCCTACATTCTAGGTTGACAATATTGACATTCATTATTACAAACGTTACATCAATTATTCTTAAAGATTGCTTACAGATCCTCAGAAAGCCAACGAGGGCTTCAACCAAAAGGAGTTTCGGATTGGAGGTTTTCGGTGTGAAGAGGTGCAGGACAGAGAGCTTTGACTTTTTCTTTGACTTCTTTACTTTGAACAATTGAGGTCTTTGCTGAATTCGTCAGCTTCGATTCATATCTCCACGCGGAGCTTCGGTGTCGAGGCATAACACTTTGTATTAAATTTGAAGCGTCGAGTTGTACAACAATGAGGTTTTAAATTATAGTGACTTAAAATTTCTTTAAAGAGAACAGGAAGTTAAGAATCATGTACTTTGCTTACATGTTTCTTAATGTTAATTTCAATGACAACTGAAAAATATTTGAGAAAGTTCAATAGGTTGAAGAACTTTTATAGTTAAATAGCAATTGAAAAATGTTTCGAAAATTTAGTTGCAATTGGAATATTTAATCCGGGTTGAGAAGAAAAAGGGAATGTTGTAGTTCGAAGTGTCGGCTTAGGAAACTTAAATAGAAGAATGTTTCATAGGTTTTTTATAGAAATTATTTTCTTATTTAATTCAAGCGCTTAAATGTATAGTTTTTTGGACATAATGACACGGTAAATTCTCATATTTAAGTAGCTTTGATTTTGTGAGAAAGAAAATATAAAATATATTCAGAAATTTGGTTTGTGACACATGAATAGTTGTCAAAATGTGATCGGCAAATTTAAATAAAAACTTAAGGTACGATAGAGAGTCCTAATACTTTTGATCATCGTATTGAGATTGTCGAACACTAGCTATTGGTTTAAATAAGGGTTAAATTCATCAATGATCATCAAACTTCATACTTAATATCACACTGATCATCCAATTTTATTTTGTTTCATTATGATCACTTAACTACATACTTAGTGTAATATTGGCCACCCAATTTAATTTAATTTTATTATGTCCATCAAAATTCATACTTAGTTCCAGTCAAGCCTTCCGATAACGTTATTTAATCTAGTCAAATTAGATGGCCAATTTTCACACAAAATAAAATTTGGTGACCAATGTCACATTAAATATAAGGTTGGGTGGCCATTGATAAAAAAATTTAAATGATTTTAGTCTTAGTTAAAATCGCCAAACAACCCTTTTTAAATTTTAAAATTAATAATATAATCTTCGTAAGAATGATTCTCTATCTTTTAATTCGACGCTAAGCTCCCAATTTTGACAATCAATAAGCAATTTAGAAATAGAGAAGATAATTTTCCCTTCATTCATGAAGATGGGTTCTCTTCCCAACACTCAAAAAAAGTTAAGCAGGACATATTCATGCAATTGACAAAGTACACAAACCCTATGCCATTGTTTCTGCTCTTCTTCAGTCTTTCACTCTACACACTGCGTGTGTCTGTGTGTATAAAGAGAACAGAAAATAAGGGTATAGGGCTTTGGGTTGCGGGGTATAGGCTCAGCTAAGGGAAGAAGGGTACAGTTTTGTTTACTTATGTGTCATATACTGTCGTATGTAGATGTTGTTAGCAGCTGAGGAAGGCTGAGACTTAGTTACCTGATAGAGAGGGACAGTGTCCCAGTGAGAAAAGTTCTGAAACTCTATTTAATAACTGTCCAAATCTAACACCAATCCCAAAGTGATTGATGCAAAAGAAATGTATACAACAAAGATTAGCATTAGGATGGGAAAAGCACTTAAAACTTTTAATTCAAATAGTTACCAAAGAAAAAAGAACTTTACTATTACTTGTGAGAGTTCTGCAATGGGTAGAGAAATTCAAATTTCTGTACCCTTACATGATAGAAATAATAGGGGATGGGTGGGTAGAAAAATCAATTTTTTAATCACATGCAGCTCACTCCCATGTGAGTAAAATTCAAATTTTTGGTGAAAATTATGTAGAAAAAATCTGTACTCACAGCATTTTTGTGCTTATAACAATTTTGCCACAAGTATATCAAGTTTGACATTATGTGAGGTAACAGCTTTTGGTACATTAATTTCATACCACATTTTTCAATTAATGATCAGATTTTATCCACACATATCCACACAGGGACAATGTCATCGACAATGTAACTCAAAAATGTACAACTAGTATAATTGTACTTGCATTAGGGTACTGAACTTTAACTCGAATCAATCACACTACTGTACTTTAATGAGCAATTAAGCCACTTTGTCAGCCTTCTGTTCAACCACGAAACGGATGACGTGGCATCTAGAAGTAATGGAATTTTTCCATATTCTGTCAAGTCAGTCACTGAACTTTAGCATTATTTGCAATTAGGTCATTGGACTTTTTATTCGAAGCAATCACAAGATTGAACTTTAATTCCAAGGTTCTGAAAAAATGTTCAAAATAAGATTTAAAACCGTTAAATAAATAAAATAGTGTATACCAAACAAATAAAATAATGTCATAATTGCTCACAAATTAAAGTACAATACTGTAATTACTTCAAAATAAAGTTCGGTCACCTAATTGCAAGGATTGAAAGTTTTGTGATCGCGAGTGAAAATTATTCAAAGATTTAGTTTATTATAATAGGGGACTAAGATAAAAGTTAGAATCATGTTACGTATCGCAAGAACTCAACTTTAAACTCAATCATAATGAAGAGTGATAAAGAGGTTATAAAACTAACACTAACAAGTCATGTCTTTCACGACGGATGTGGGACTTAAATATTATTATAAATTTAATAGTTCAAATTTGACGTGAACAAGTCACATCTTCTACTAGTAGTGTGGGATCTAAAAATATTCACATTTATGTGTTCAAAACTGACTCTCGCAAGTCATGACTTTCACGACTAGCGTTGTCAAGTCATAACTTTCACGACTGATGTGGAACCTAAACATTATTACAATTTATTTGTTTAAAACTAACAGTAACAACTCACGCCTTCTACGAGTGATGTGGGACCTAAAAATCATTACAATTTATCCGTTCAAAACTGACTCTCACAAGTCATGCCTTTAACGACTAATGTGGGACTTAAAAAGTATTACAATTTATCCATTCAAAATCGACACTAGCATGTCATGGCTTTCACAGCTGATACTAAAAAGTCTTTACCTTTCACGACTGAAGTGGGACTTAAATTCATTACAATCTATCCAATCAAAATGACACTCAAGATGTCCTATTTCTACCAATGGAAGTAGTTCTACAAGTATCTTTCGCCATGGTTTAAAATTAAACTAAAAAGGTTACCAAAGATAAAAAGTATAGTCTAATATAGAAATAACATAAATGTTAGAATCACATTGTGCATGAACTCACAAGTCTTCCTTTCCATAAGTGATGTGAGACTTAAAAATCGTTATAATATATTCGTTAGAGAAATGACACCCACGATGTCCTATTTCCACGTTAGTGACGATTTTAAATAATTAGCTTCTACGAGTACTCGCTCTTAAACCGACTTACGAGGAAGAGTGTTAAAAAGGATTATAAAACTGATAGGCCACACCTTCTATGAGGGACTTAAAAATCTGTTGCGATCGACCCATTCAAAACTGACACATGTGACATCCTATTTTTTATGTGACTTTAGAGTATCCTATTCTACTAGAAGTAGTCCCACGCTGTCTTGTTCGCTAAGGTTCAAAATGAAAATGGCTTGTTAGAACTCTCACCTGAAAAACCAACTTCTAAATAAGGCTTTCTAAATCGTTTATAAATGGACAAGATATGCCTTCCATGTATATAAACTTCATAAAACTCGAAATTAGTATGTCACAATAGTAACCCTATCATAGGCAACCATTCACTTATTATCTCTAATAGTAAAGAACTAGATTCTGGAAAAGTTTAATCCATTTGTACATAATGGATTATCCCTTCTCAGATTATGCTCGGGGCCCGCGTGTATTTACAAATTCCGACAATGTGGTCTATATTCTCATTGTGAGTAGTAGGCAAAAAATTCAGTAAAAAAATTCGGTACATGTAGTATGATCATTCCTTCTGGAAAACACTGCTAAAGTATGTTCTAATTTCCACATCGTTCAACTAAAACAACAATTCTTGATTTTGAACTTTTGAGCATTAATTAGTCTTTAACTAAAATCAAATTCAATAAGAAAGAAGCTTTAAAACCTATACTTAGCCACTAATTTCCAACTCATTTCAGTTTGATTCACCAAATAAAACATAAACAAACTTCTCAAAGTTCACATCTTGATTCAGCAATGGAAAAATACTAAAATATGAAAATAGTAGGAAAAGGCTGCATAAGTTTTGGTATGTGTTCCTATAATATGTTCGGTTCTTCAATTCTTCTCACAGCTCTTATAAGGATACCTTTTGATTTTTGTCTGCTAGCTATGGCAGTGCACTGTACTGATTCAAATTGGTCCATGACATTCCATTCCAGTTGCTGGTATTGTTTTCATTTGTATCAACAGTAATATTGGATGCTGGAGTTGTTGTACCTGGTGCATAAGTGCTGTCAAAAAACCATTCAGTTGATAAATTTCCACTTGGAGTCTCAGTCCCCTCCTTTCTTGAACTTCCAATTCCACAAGCTTCTGGTTTTGAAATTTCCAGATTCTGAAACAAAATGGGTTGGGGTTTCTGAATCTCATTAGGTTCAAGCATTGCCAATCTTTCTTGTTGTAACTTCCAGTGCAGATTTTGGTTCATTGAACTCAAGGACTCAATAGTATTTGCAAGGTTGCTATGAATATTCAATGATGAGCCCATTTCTTGAATCCCTAAAGTCCCTTCTCCTTGTTTAAGTGCAGAAGATAATGGAAAATTGAATCCCATTGGAGGTGAACTCCCTGAAAATTCAAGATTAAAACAAGGGTTTGGTGCAATCTCACCAGAAGAATTTGGCAGGTTTCTAAAAGATGATGAAAACTGGTTGAAAAGACCAGTATTTGGAGGATTAATTATAGGCAAGTTTAGCCCTCCAAGCTGAAAATCCATGGCTGGTGAAAAACCCTGAAAAAAATTCAATTTTGAACCAAAATCAGATGATCCACTAGAAGCCTTTGATTCCCCAGAAAGCCTAGAACAAGACTTCATCTTCTTGCTCTTCCTGCAGCCACCGCCAATTGGAATGTTTCTCAAGGTACCGCCTTTAGTCCAGTACCTTCTACAAGTCTTGCAAAAATGCCTTGGCTGTGAAAGATTGTAGTTGTTGTAATAGCAAAACTTGGTGTTTGATGAATCACATCTAGGGCACTTGAGGGCTGGTTCTTGAGGCCTCGGCGCCGCGTTTCTCCGGCTGCCGGAGCCTTGGCTTTCATCTTTTCCGGCTACCTTTGCAACCAAGCTATCTGGTGACATCCTGAGAATTAAACAAAGTGTAGCCCTATGACAGCTGATTGTATTTATATCAAACGGTTGAAGGAATAGCGAAAATTAGTTGTTGGAACTGTCAAAAATAGTGAATAATTCATTGGTTTCATGCATGGATTTGATGGATGTGAAGATGTTGATGGTGATGGGGTCTTGTGATCTTCATCAAAGAAAGAACAGGTTTATATATGTGTCTGTATGAGAAAATTTATAAAGCTGTATTTGGGGGTTAGATCTGATAAAATAAAGAAAGAAGAAAGGTGAATGGGGGGAATATGAATATATATAAAGTGAGAGAGGAGGAGAGAAGAGACAAAAGAAAGCAATGAACTAAAATCAGTCAGAATGGAGAGATCCAAAGGTACCTGAAAGATAAATACGTGAAAACGAAAGCAATGAGAAATTAGAGGGGAGAAAAAAGTATAAATCATGGGGTCCACACTGCAATGAAACAACTAGATGAATAATTTTTAGAGTTTTGCTACACGAAAGAATGCTTGACATAGGGGATGACACAATACACACATGAGAATGTTGATATTATTTAATTCAAGTCGGGACTCATATGCAATGTGAGTGGTCGGTGAACCTGTAAGTCAAGCATTATGTTCATTTAGCTTAATTCTAGCTTTTACACCAATATTTGAAATTAGTATGAACTTTGTATAAATATGTATACTTTGTTTTGTGGATGTTAATTTCATTTCTTAAATTAAGCTCATGTTTGGCACCCATTTTCATCTCATTCTCATTCTCATTTTTTTTTCTTCATTTCAACCACACATACTCCCAATAAAATAATATTACACACTAATCTAAAATTTTTCATAACTTTTCCACCATACATTCTCCCATCAATCACTATTTCAAAAATTATATTCTCCAAAAAATGGGTGTCAAACACCAAGTGCATGTTTCACACACATTCTTTCCAAATTCATTTTCAACTACACATTTTTCAATATAATAATTAGTTTTCATCACATCAATAATTTTCTCTTACTTTTTAACCATATATTTCTCATCATATCACTATTTAAAATACATTATTTTCTTAATAATATTTATCAAACACACCCTAAAAATAGACAGCGGTGAAACTTGAATTGAGAGTTTACGCGCTATAATGCTACATTGTAAAGTCTACGAATTACTATTGTATAAATTAATAATCTATATTATATAATAAAAACATTGTATCCCAATTTTGGAGTAATGAGATAAATTTGATCCTATATATATTAATAACATCTATTATATGAGAAAATTTTCATGTGCAAACGTTATTAATTTATAGAAATTATAATGTATGTTCAATATTCTTATTGAGAATTTATAAGGTTTGATATGTGGCACTTTTTATATGTATATATAAGACCGATTGTTTATTTTTCTTGAAAAAGCTAAAGTAGATAAGTTATATATCTCATATCCCTCAGCATATTCTTAGTCATCATACGTAGTATAAAATATTTTGTTAGCTCATGCTTCGAACTTGCAACCACTATCGTCATCAATGTTCCTCAATGCCTGCTCGTGGTTCATTGCACGACAATCTAAAGATACGATTCACTTTTATTTATTTAGGAATGACAACTCTTCTAAAAAGAACAATAAGAATCCATGAGGAGCGTATTGGGGTAGACTTAATATAAGCTTATAAGCCCAATTCCTGTTGTACGAATGCAGCAAGAATTCCTTTTCTATACTGACGCGAACTCGGGTATGGGATCAGCGTGGAAATCGCGAAGTTAATTGAAAACATCGGGAAAGCCCAAATTCAAGTTGTAGATGGTAGAATCTCGACCAGAAAATTATTGAACCAAACAATCAAATAAAAACAAAGTTTGAATGACCTCTTGATTACAAAACCAACGAACCTCGATTTACGAACGCCACAAAGGATGTGTAATCCTTTGATAAGTTCTAAGGGTTGAACGTCACAAATATAACAATATTTGATAAGTTCGGTACATGTTCAATCAAAAATAAAAGGAGAGAAATCTCATTTAGTTCATAATGTCAAAAAGGTTCTTAATTTTACAATGAAATAAATCTCCTATTTATACTAATGCTAGAAACCCTAATAAAACGTAGGTCATAGAATACTGTCAAAGTTGAAAATAAAATAGAATTCTAGACTAACAAGGAAATTTCACTAAAATAGGAAAATTCCGCCAACTTGTTCTCAACATGTTTCTGTGCGATCGCAAGCCCAAAAGTACTATAAGCTCGTGTAGCTTTGTGCAGAATTTGTGCATTTCCGGAATGTAATCATGGGCGAAAATCCAACAATCGAACTAAAAGTCATGCTCGTTTTCATCCACGCTGTTAGTTTTCTTTCTAAATTTTTTCCGAACTTTGAATCCAACTCTTTTCGCTCCTGACACTACACCAAAAATTACCTTTTGCAACGGGCAAAAAACGTTGTCAATAACCTTTAGCAACGGTCGGGCGTCTGTTGTTAGATGCGATGTTGCCGTAGAGACTGATCATTTGCAACGGTCGATTACCATTGCAAAAAGAGTCAATTGCAACGTTCCGTGAACGTTGCAAAAAAGGGTCAATTGCAACGTTCCGTGAACGTTGCAAAAAGGTCAATTGCAACGTTCACCGACCGTTGCAAAAAGGGACAATTGCAACGATCCGTGAACGTTGCAAAAAGGGTCAATTGCAACGTTCACTGAACGTTGGCCTTTCTTCTCTCTTCTCTTTTAGCACCGTTTTTTGACCGTAGCAAATGTTAATTTTTTTTTTTACATTAATTTTTATTTTATTGCAATTACCTGTGACTTTTTACAGCAAAATTTTGTACGCAAATATTTTTAAGACAACAAGAAATTTAATAGTAACTTCATTAAGACAATAAATATGAGATCACAAGTACTGTTACTTCATCAAAATACAATACGCACTCCAATATAGAAACTGGGTACCAAAGACAATTCAAGAACATATACCAACATGCCAAATAAACCGATTTACAACAAAAAAACTACGAAACACGTCCAAAAGTTGTGTACATCAAATACTTCCATCATAAT